CAGTTGAAGAGCACCTGCGCGCGCTCTCTTTGCGACAGCCCAGCGCCACTGAGCATCTTGCTCGCCAGCGCGCGATCGCTGATCGCTGAAGTGGGATCCTCGAGCTGCAACTCCATGCGCTTCTTCCGCAAGTACGTCGTCCAGTCCATGATGGGCTGCCCTGCCCGACGGTGAGCACGCTCCCACTCCTGATGCACCTGATCCAGGCGCTCGTGGTCCATCTTCTCGAAGGCGTCATCGTAGATAGCAAAGATGGTCTCGAGCGTGTCCTCGCGCCGGAGGTCCGACGAGTCGAGAACCTCGATGAGCTCCTTGGCCCGACCCGTCACCTGGCTGAAGATGATCAGGCCCAGCTCCACGTCGGAGAGCTGGTTGAGGCTGCGGATGACCTCCACGGCCTTGCGCCACTCCCGGTACTTCTTGGTACTAGCGCCGACGGCACCGTCGAAGTCCGGGGGCTTCACCTGTGACAGCAGTAGGCGCTCACGTCTGGGACCACTGTCGCCACCACGATCCCGCTGCAAGGCCAGGATCTCCCGCTGGGTCTCGGCCATCACGCGCAGGACCGCGTGCAGGTCCGGAGAACCTGCGCCGGCGGAGGACTCCGCCTCCGCGTCCGAGCCGACCTGGCTGCCAGCCATGGCGGCGCGCGCGGGTGGTCGCAGCCACCCGAGCAAAGCACGCAGTGCGTCCGCTGGAACAACAAGCTCCGCTACCAATGTCAGTGCAGATTTTTTTGCTCGGGCCGCGCGGCGGCCAGTCTGCGGGTGCAGTCCCAGGGCCCTAGGACTAGGGCCAAACGGCGGCGGGCAGCGTGCACGCCACATACATGTAAAGTATGTGCATCATGCTTACAATGGCGGCACGGGGCGGCAGAGGGGCAGGGGAGTGCCCTCTTCACACCAGCATGCTGCAGCATATTGACTAAGGCCGTAACGCCCCCCCCTCCCCCAAGCCCGAAACCGCAAAAGAGGCAGGTTCGCCCCACGCCTGTGAAACATTATTCAATGAACGCCCCCCGCCGCACACGCAGTGAAGCCTACCGGGCGAAGTGCCGCCAAATCATTGTGAAGCGCGTATTAGCCACGACAACGCGAGACGACGGATGCCATGCATACAACACATATCAGGATGCGCCAGTATCCGCGAATGTGGATGCACAACGTCACAGAGTATGCCCTACAACGGGGTTCAAGAAAGGGAACCGATGAGCCTCAAGGTATCCCCGCACACTGGGCTCCCCCCAACTCCCCCCTCCTGGCCACGGCGTGATTCTGGAGTTCACAGCTAAAGAGGAGGAGGAGGAGGAGGAAGAGGAGGAGGAGGAGGAGGAGGAGGAAGAGGAGGAGGAGGAGGAGCAGGAGGAGGATGAGGATGAGGAGGAGGAGGATTGTTTCGGCTGTTGTTCCCCACATTCTAAGTGGGGTTCTTGTTTTCTCTGCACACCCTCCGCGCAGGATCTCCTCCTCCTCCTCCCTCTCCTCTGCTCCTCTTTGCTTCCTCCTCCGCATCATCATCACCATCACCATCACTCCCCACTCATCATCATCATCACCATCAGCATCACCATCCCACGATCACTCACCATCATCGGCATCGAACGATCATCACCATCATCATCATCATCATCATCATCATCATCAGCATCATCATCATCATCATCATCACTACTCGCTGACTTGAGGCCTGAATATGGAAGAAGTATCAGGCGGGAGCCTCGTCTGTGAGTGAATTACGAGGAAGTCTCAGGCGGGAACCCCCTCCCTATGGGGCCCGCACTTCATGTTTGAATCCGAGCGGGTCATCCGCAACGTGCAACCGTCATCACTTTTGGGCTCTTGAGACTTGAATATGGAGGAAGTCTCGAGCGGGAGCCTCGTCTGTGAGTGAAGTGTGAGGAAATCTCAGGCGGGAGCCCCCTCCCTATGGGGCCCGCACTTCATGTTTGAATCCGAGCGGGCCATCCGCAACGTGCAAGTGTCGTTATTTTTGGGCTCTTGAGACTTGAATATGGAGGAAGTCTCGAACGGGAGCCTCGTCTGTGAGTGAATTGTGAGGAAGTCTCAGGCGGGAGCCCCCTCCCTATGGGGCCAGCACTTCATGTTTGAATACAAGCGGGCCATCCGCAACGTGCAACTGTCGTCACTTGTGGGCTCTTGACATATGAATATGGAGGAGGTCTCGAGCGGGAGCCTCGTCTGTGAGTGAATTGCGAGGAAGTCTCAGGCGGGAGCCCCCTCCCTATGGGGCCCGCACTTCATGTTTGAATCCGAGCGGGCCATCCGCAACGTGCAACTGTCGTCACTTTTGGGCTCTTGACATATGAATATGGAGAAAGTCTCGAGCGGGAGCCTCGTCTGTGAGCGAATTGCGAGGAAGTCTCAGGCGGGAGCCCCCTCCCTATGGGGCCCGCACTTCATGTTTGAATCCGAGCGGGTCATCCGCAACGTGTAACTGTGGTGACTTTTGGGCTCTTGAGGCCTGAATATGGAAGAAGTATCAGGCGGGAGCCTCGTCTGTGAGTGAAGTGTGAGAAAGTCTCAGGCGGGAGCCCCCTGCCCGTGGGGCCCGCACTTCATGTTCGAATCCGAGCGGGTCATCCGCAACGTGCAACTGTCGTCACTTTTGGGCTCTTGAGACTTGAATATGGAGGAGGTCTCGAGCGGGAGCCTCGTCTGTGAGTGAATTGTGAGGAAGTCTCAGGCGGGAGCCCCCTCCCTATGGGGCCCGCACTTCATGTTTGAATCCGAGCGGGTCATCCGCAACGTGCAACTGTCGTCACTTTTGGGCTCTTGAGATATGAATATGGAGGAAGTCTCGAGCGGGAGCCTCGTCTGTGAGTGAATTGTGAGGAAGTCTCAGGCGGGAGCTCCAGGAGGAAGAGGAAAGGGCAAAGGGTAAGCTAAACAGATTCTCATATGGGGTCCTACCGTCGGAGTAATTTTCAAGGCCCGGGTCAAGCGTTACCGCTCTGTGCCCCAACAAATGGTGACAAGCTACGAGCTGCCCTCTCTTATCCTCCTCCCAGGGGGGGCCGCCCCACGACTGCGAAGCACGAATAGCGCCACTCGCTCATCCTCGCACCCTCTCGGAAACGTGTCGCCCCGCGAGTGTGAAGCAAGCCCAGCCCCCTCAGACCTTAAGTCTACCCAGTCTCAGTCTCGGTGGGATGCATGCAGACACTCCCCCGGCGAAGAAACTCCCCCACGACTGTGAGGCAGCTTAAACTGCACCTCGACATGCACTGTTTGAATGAATACAGAATCCGCCCAAAGAGCTGCCCCACGACTGTGAAGCCCACTACACCACCGGCCACGAACCGCCCGACGACTGCGAAGCCCACTTTGAGGGACCCCGCCACACATGAGAACACTGCAAATCAAAACTTGTTTGCCTGGCTCGCCTGGTCCCCCACGGCAACGAAGCGCCACACTGGCAGAGTCATACTGATCAAGGAGAAGTACCCCGCGAAACACTACCGCAATGCAGGGTGATTGCTGTCCCTCTGTGGTGACCACCAAGGTGGGGCGTGTGGCTCTCCAGCGCTACGGGCGGTCAGCCGTAGCATTTCCTGATATGGTTGGGCCTTTGACTGAACAGCTTCCTACACACGAGCGAACCTCATCAATCGGGAATGTTGGCCCACCCGCGTGCTGGGGCCCACTCAAGGGGACGTAAGATCGTGCCAATATGTACGGCGTTCCCGCATGCTGGGCCCCCCTTAGCAGACCTAAGATTATGCCTGTATGCGCGACGCTCCAGCGCGCGACGCTCTCGCATCCGCTCCTCCTTCTCCTCCACCTCATCCTCTCCTCGGATGCCGCATGCTGGGTCCCAGGTACTGGGGCCTACGAGATTGCCCGTATGCAAGACTTTCCCGCATACTGGGGCCCACTTAGTGGGACCTAAGGTCGTGCCCGTATACATGACGTTCCCGCGTGCTTGGTACAAGTTAATGGGACCTAAGGTCGTGCCCCCTAAGGTCGCGCCCGTATGCGCGACGTTCCCGCATGTTGGGTCCGAATTCAATGACCTAAGATCGTGCCCGTATGCACGACCCTGCCACATGCTGGGCCCCATTTGAGGGGACCTGAGATCGTGCCCGTATGCAAGACAGTTTTGCGGTTCGGTATTGTCCGGCGAGGCCTTGCAAGTAAGGACTCGAACCCCTCACACGTAATGAAGGATGCACAGGTGCCTTGCAACGACCAAAGAAGATGCTGACAACGGCTCTAGGGCTACCTTCTCTCCCTCCTTCGATCTGCAATTCATGGGGGGCATTATCGCCCCGCGGGGGTGGGCCCGCTAGCTGCGGCCGCTGGCTGCTTTTTCGAGCTGCGTCCAGCCGTGGCACGAGGGGAGGCGCATCAGCCCACGCTCGACAAACCTACCCAGATGCCCCCTCCTGACGTGGCTGGGGAATGGAATTCGCCCCAGCCCACGCTCTTCATACCCCCCCTTGGCGTGGCTGGGGAATGGAATTCGCCCCATCCCAATCTCAACCTTCCCTCTTGCCCTTAGCTTGTGCATTCCGCTGTGCCCTTGATATACATATAAATATATATTTACACACATGGCATGAGCATTGTCAACATGTCAACACATGACCCTACCTTACTACTCCCCCACGGCGTGGCTGGGGATCGGGGTCGGAGTAGCGTAAAGCGACCCTCAAAGAGATCATTCGCATGAACATGTCCCAATGCATGTGTCGAGCGAACATGCCGATCGACAACCTGCTGGCCTGTGTCGCCCCGGTGGCGAAACCCCAGTGGGCTCAGGGGAGGTGCTCTTCGGAGATCCCCAATCTCCTTACAGGCCGCCCCGTGCGTCCTCCCCGAAAACACCAGACTGGGGCCATGCACACCTTCGGCACGGGGAGGAGGAGGAGGAGGAGGAGGAGGAGGAGGAGGAGACGGAGGAAAGGGAGGAGGAGGAGGAGGAGGAAGAGGAGGAGGAGGAGGAGGAGGAGGCGGCGGCGGCGGCGGAGGCCGCGCGGCCTCGCCCTCCGCCTCGCCCTCCGCCTTGGTCTCCGCCCGCTCGGGCGCCTGCTTCTCGGGCTCGCCGGCGCCGGCCGCCGCCCCGCCCTGGGCGGCGGCGGCGGCGGGGACGGCGGCGACGGGCCCAGAGGAGGGTCGGTGGAGGAGTTATGGAAGAGGGAGGAGGGAGGGAGGGGGGGGGAGGAGGGAGGAGGGCGGAGGATGGAGGAAGGAGGGAGGGGGGAAGGAAGGTGAAGGAGGATGGAGGGGGGTGGAAGAGAAGAGAGGAGCGGGGAGGAGGGGGGACGGAAGAGGGTGGAGGAGGATGGGATGGAGGGCGGTGCGAAGGGGCTGGGGAGGGAGAAGGAGGGGACAGGAGGGGGCAGCAGGAAGGGACGAGGCCCGAGCGGGAGCCTCCGCCGCGGGCCCGCCGCCCGAGTCGGCGCCGCAGGCCTCCACGTCGAGGCCAGCGCCCGAGTCGGCGTTCGCCTCCGCGCTGTGGTCGTCGTCGCTTTCGCCGTCGTCGTCGTCGCCGCCGCCGCCGCCGCCGTCGTCGTTCCCTGAGACTCGGGCGTCGCATTTTTTCGCACCTGGCGTTCTCGCCAAGTTTCGGGTCCCAGAGCCATCACGGATCGATCCGGCTCGAAAGATGCAGCAGACAGAAGGGGTCTAGAGCTCAGGTCGTGATTTTGGACGATGTTTCATTTTTTCGCGACGTCGGATCTCAGGGTTGTCGTCGTCGCCGTCGCGTCGTCGTCGTCGTTGTCGTCATCTTCCTCGCGCTGCTGCTGCTTCTGCTGCTGCTCCTCCTCCGCCTCCTCCGCCTCCTCCTCCTCCCCTCCTCCTCCTCCGCCTCCTCCACCTCCTCCGTGCTCCTCCCTCCTCCTCGTTTCCCCCTCTTGCTCTTCCTCCTCGCTCCTCCCGTCTCCTTCTATGAGCGACTTGCCGTTACTGAAGCCGAAATTTGGGATGTGCATTGGTCATGTCGTGATCTCGTCCTGGCGTCTCGCCCACATGTCAAAATGTGTCCTCCTGTGTGCCATCATCTGGTGCTCACAAAGTATGTACGTCACCACTCCCTCTCCTGCGACTGGGGAGATCCTAGCGTTCTCCCACTAGCACTGGTGAAAAGCGCAGCAGCGCACGATCGCATATGCAAAGCAAGCACAGTAGGGGAGAGCACTCAGGCGCGGGAACAGGGGAACAGGACGGCTGGGTGGGGAGGACGCTGACGAGAAAGGGGGGCGGTCTCGAGAACTGGGGGGGGCCGTGCGAGAAGAATGAGAGGAGGTGGATGGGACTGATGGGACCCGCAAAAGGGCGAGTGGGCGCCTGATCCCAGGGAGGTGCTCCCGAACTGTGTGCTCTCTCGTGGCTTCAGGGTGCCACAAGGCCCGTGGTGGGGCCTGCCCGAGTCGGCGTGCCGAGCACGTGCATCACTGGCCGCGCGTTGTCCAAGGGCTCCCAGCTTCGCGCTCCGCGCTGCGCGAAGCGCGAAGCGCGAAGACCTTCGCGCCCGCGCGCCGCCTCCCGGGGGAGCAGGAAGAGGAGGACGAGGAGGACGAGGAGGACGAGGAGGACGAGGAGGAGGACGAGGAGGACGAGGAGGACGAGGAGGACAGCTTCGCGCCCTCGAGGGCGCCCTTGGCAGTCGCAGGAGGGGGGGCGGCGGCCAGACGCGAGCGACGGAGTGCAAACGGGCGGAGGGCATGGGGCCCGGAGGGAGGCTCGTCGGGCCCGGCCCCGCCCCACCGGCGGCGCCCCCCCGTGCGCTCGGGGGAGGCGCTGGCCGAGGCAGCGGCGCGGCGGGCCTCCCGCCTGGCCCCCCTTGGGGCCGCTCGGGCCTCCTCCTCCCTCCTCCCCATCCTCCTCCTCCTCCTCCTCCTCCTCCTCCTCCTCCTCCTCCTCCTCCTCCTCCTCCTCCTCCTCCTCCTCCCCCGGCGCTCGGGGGAGGGGCCGGCCGAGGCAGCGGCGCGGCGGGCCTCCCGCCCGGCCCCCCCCCCTTGGGGCAGCGCGGGGCCTCGGGTCCCCCCTCCGAGGGGGCCCTCTGTCCTGGCCGCCGCGCTGCGGCGAGGGTCCAGGCGGGGCCGCTCTCGGGGCCTCGGGCCCCTCCGAGGGGGCCCTGCCCTGGCCGCCGCGCTGCTGCGAGGATCCAGGCTGGGGCGCTCGGGGGGGGCGCGGGGTGCCAGGGAGGGCCGCCGCCGTGTCTCCGCCCGGCCCTCCTTCGATCGCTGCTCCTCGCGAGGGTCCTCGGGGCGCGTGGTCGGCCCAGGGTGCGCGCACCCCGCTTCGCTCCACCGCCAGCGCCCGGCCTGTGCCGACCCTCGCTGCTCCGCCCGCGTGGCTGCCGCGCCCGCGTCGTGCTGGTGGGCTTCGGTGGAGGAGCGCGCATGGGCGCCAACACTTTGACCAGCCTAGGGAGTGGTAGCGAACGCATGCGCATTTCGCACATCAGTTGTGTAGAACGCTATGCCTTCACTCAAGCGAGAAGAGTGTGTTTCTTGTCACGCCAGCCGATAGCAAGAAAACAGAAAGCATACTCGGTAAACGCAAGCGCCGGTGTGTCAAACGCGCAAGCAAGAATCTTCAAGGGACACCCTTTCTCGTTGCACCGGTCTTGCAGACGTGCTGCAGCGGCTTTTTGCAAATTTCATTCCTGGCCACAAAACCGCACGAAAACCACTTGAAATCTGGAACGAATTTCTCCAGGACAATCGAGGCCCATCCCATTGTTTTCCGAGCGAAATCCGCTCTGCGAAGTTGGCGCCACAGGATCAGCGATCCTGAGACGAAGACAACGAGGACGACACAAGCTCGGACAGGGACGACATGTCGGGAATCTCTGAGAGACGCGGCGGGTCTGGGGGGCGCCGCGGTCGGCTCCGGAGCGCTCCTCTGGAACCGCTCGCTGGAGAGCGTTCCGGAACGCTCTGGAGCACTCCGTTCTCCTCCTGGGCCTGCCTGGCCCCGACACCCGCCAGTGTGCCCTGCTCCGTCCGCGGCCCCAGAGGTCCCGACCGCTTCCCAGGGGTAGGTCTTCGCCCTGGATCCCTGTTTGACCGTGCAAGGGCTCGAGAACGGCCCCCTGGTGGGCCGAGCGCTGGGAGCAAGAGAACCAGTTGAAGAAGCAGGCCGTCGGAGATCGGGGGACCCTCTCGGTGCGGGCACCGGCAGCGACCGCTGGTCGAGAACACTGGGGGTTCCACATCAGTGCGGTGACAGACCGTGCGGAATCCCCCCCAAAGGCCCCACTGCATGGATTCTGAGGTCACCGCACGGTCTGGCACCGCATGGTGCTAAGGCCCTGGAGACCCCAATCGCCCGAGACGTCCCAAAGAACTTCCCAAGCCTCAAAACCGCGCAGTGTGCTCGCATCCCCGCTTCGGGGACCCACTGACCCGGGCCAATCCAGACCCAGGTCAGCTGGGCCTTGCAGGATCCTGACCCAAACCCGGGTTGGTGCAGCCCTGGCAGACTCAGCAAGATCCTGCGAGATCCGGCGCTCTGGCTGACCCCCGTTTGCACTGAACCCCGTCCCTCGAGTCGGAGATCGACTACAGAATCGACGTTCCCCAAAATGGTTTTTCTTTGTCGAATCAACGAAAGATGCGTCGAAAGACGCGTATACTATCTACGAACATTGTATGCGCTGTTTCGGCAAACTCGACGCGAACATCACTGACTCACCGCGCGGTTCCGGGGCCCCCGGAGAAGAGGTGCGGAGCGGTGGCGGGGGCTGGGGGGGCAGGGGGGCGACGACGGCGGCAGCACAGCGCGGGCGGGGCCTCGGCCATGGCCTGCATCGCCGCGCCAGAGGTGTCGCGCGCGCGCGAGGCGGCCGCGCGTGGGGAGCCAGCGACAGGTCGAGTGGGGGATCGACGAATGACAGAATTGTTGCTCTGCCGAGTCCAGGAGAAACGCGCAGATTGGTCGTAGAACTACGTAGCATTGCTAAGTAGTTGTTCGCGGACTCGACGAGACAATCGCGCCCCCGCCCCCGCTTGGCGGCGCGCGCCAGGGGGGGGGGGCGCCGAGCAGGCTCACTTCCCAGCCACCCGCCCCGCCCCCACCTGCCCTCCCTCCCGTTCCGAGGCCACCCCGAGCCCCCTCTGCACCTTTTCCCAGGCGGTCCAGGAAGCGCCCCCAAAAAACCACACAGGAGCCGGCACGGGCTGGGCCGATCTCCGCCCGGGGAGAACCGCGGGCGCGGGGCCACGCGGCAAAGTCTGGCCCGCACTCGCTCGCCATCGCGGGGGGGCTGCTGTGGGGCCTCTCTCGGGGGACCTCTGTTTGTGCCTCTTGAGGAGGCCTCTGAGGGCCTCCTAAGGGGGCCTCGTAGGGAACCAGACTCTCTATACACCGACGCTTTTTCCAGCCCTGCACTGCCATTTTCACCAGAAACCGGATTTTGGTGTATGCGGGACCCTGGTGTTTACATGTTTCGTGGTCTCCCCGGGGAAACTTGACAAACATATACCCCACGCCACACCGACGTCGTCCCCGACCCTCAACAAAGTCCTGGGATTGAAAAGCAGCCCGCCACTGGTATTGTACATGCTCCAGTTTCCGATTTGGGGCCTGTCTTGGGGACCTCTTGTTGTGCCTCTTTGGGAGGCCTCGTAGGGGGCCTCGCGGGGGGCCTCTTAAGGAGACCTCCTTCTTCCGCCCGTGCCCGCCCGTGCGGCGGCAGGGGCGCTGTGCTCCGCTCTCGCTGCGAACAGCTGCCGCCACGCCGGTCCCGGGCTTCTTGCCGTCGCTTGGACGTCCGCTCCCCGTGCACTCGTCGGCTTCGTGCGTCTATTTTTCGCACGAGGGCCCGAAATTCTCCTCGGTGGTCCTCGCCGAGAAGGAATGCACACGTTCGAGCGATGCCAAGCTCGAGCCTCCTGGCCACCTTGGGGGACGCGCAGGCCCAGGTCAGCGCACACCCGGGGCAGCCAGGGCCCCTTGGCGGCGCGCACCAGGGGATATAGGGGGAGGGGGGAAGGCTTCTCAGGAGGCGGCCGCTTCCGAGAAGTCGTGGACCCTACATCTGCAGGTAGAGGGCCCGCGCCTTCGAAGAAGCAGGGGTGCTTCTAAGAAGCCTTCGCGCCCCCTACCCTCCTCTGCGCGTAACCGACCATCATCGGCGACGCACTGATCCAGGTCAGCGCAAACCCGGGTCAGCCAAGGCCCCGTCGCGAAGCCCGGCCGGCCGCTCAGCAGCTTCCCAGCCCGGGTGAGCGGAGGGCGGAAGAGTTGGGGGGGACGAAAGATAAGATGGCAAAGGGCAGGGTAGAGAGTCAGCTTACGCAGCCGGCTTTCCTGGCGTTTCCTGGTGCTGGGAGGCGTCCATGTATCGAGGAATGGGCCTGGCAGCGGGGCCGAAACCAGCTGCATGCAGCGGATTTCGCACCCCCCCTCTTTCCCTACCCCCCCCTGAAGCCAAGTCAGCCAAAAAAGGGCTTGGCCAACCCCAATTGGCTCTGACCCCCGCAACGTCAGCCCTGGCATCACCTGGACGGACTCGGCCGACCCGGACCCTAGCCAAACCCTTTTCTGGGGTCCCGAACGATCCTCTGACACGGATCGACCTTAACAATGTTTTCCGTTTTCGTTTTATGTTCGGTTTCCCTCGTCTTGTCTTCAACCCGCCTCTCCTGCAAAACGAAGTCGAAACGAAAACGGCTCACGAAATCGCCCAAACTCCGTTTAATCGACCCCTGTCCTGCGACCCCATCTGAGCGACGATTAACAACGGGTCTTACGTGAAGGTGAGACACAGCGACCTTACGAGGCGGCTTACGCGGGCCGCCAGCGCGGCACGCTACATTGGAGACGAGGGCACTTACGCGCGACCTTACGCGGGCAGCTTACACGTCAATGTCGGCGCAGACGACCCCTTGTTTTGGAGGAACATAAGACGGCAAGAGGCGCCGGAGGCGCCGCCTGGGGGGCCCGGCGCGGATCCAAGTCATCCGCGCGGAGCGACAAAAGCTTCTGCTTATGCAATTTTGTCCTCTTCGATTTTTGCGTCGCTCCTCTGGTTTGGACGCCCGAAATGGGTACGGAAAGAATGAGTGCAATGCCCAGCAACAAATGTTGTCCCAAACCAACAGCGGCCGCTGTTGGGCAGGCGGCCTCCTGTCTCAAATGGACACAGGCCGCGGCGACACTGACAGCGAGTCCTGTTCAAAATGAACAGGAACTGCTGTTGGGCATTGTCCCCATTCTTTCCGTACCCATTTCGTTCGGCGCTCCTCTGGGAAGCCTGGAGCTCAAATGGCGGCGCGGCGGGGCCGGCGACCCGTGGCTGGAACCCCCCCGGCCAGAGGACAAAAAAAACGGCGGCGGAGCCTCAAGCCGAGCCGGCTCTGGCGAACGGGGCAGGGCAGCGGGGGCGCGGGCGCCCGCCCCTCTGCCTGGGGAGGGAGGGGGGGGGGAGCACCCGCGCGAGCGGAACATCCGACTCGGGCGAGCTGGCCCAGGGGCGCTTCCCGGAGCGTCGGCAGCTGAAGCCGAAGCCGGAGCTGAGGTGCACAGAGAAAGGGAGACGGCCCACCCTGCAGGTTTGGTTGGCAGCACTGAAGGGGCCCTGGGACACACAAATGATCCCAGTGCGACCCTACCTAGGAGTTGGAGCCCCTAGGAAAGCAGCATTAGTAGTAACAGTAAAGCTGAGCTGAAACTAAGCTAAAGCTATGCTAAAGCTAAGCTGAAGCTAAGCTAAAAGCTAAAGTAAGCTAAAGCTAAGCTAAAGCTAAGCTAAAGCTAAGCTAAAGCTAAGCTAAAGCTAAGCTAAAGCTAAGCCAAAGTCAAGCTAAAGCTAAGCTAAAGCTAAGCTAAAGCTAAGCTAAAGCTAAGCTAAAGCTAAGCTAAAGCTGAGCTAAAGCTGAGCTAAAGCTAAGTTACAGCTGAGCTAAAGCTGAGTTACAGCTAAGCTAACACTAAGCTAAATGTAAGCTAAAACTAAGCTAAAGTTAAGTCAACGCTAAGCCAAATCCGCCGACCCCTTGGGGATCATCGGCGTGTGAGATGCTTCCCCCTCCCCAAACCCCTCCCCCGGGAGCCCGGTCCGGTCGATTTGGAAGGGGGGGGGGGTCCGCGCGCGAGCGGGGGGGGTCCGGGACGAGCGACTCACGGGGCTTTTCCGGGCCCAAGAGGGCCTCAAGACGGGCCAAGAAGCCCCCAAGAGGCCTCCAAGACGGCCCACGAAGGCTCCGAGACGCCAAACGACCGCTCCAAGACGCCCACGATGGCCCCAAGACGGGCCAAGAGGTCTCCAAGACGGCCTCCGAGGTCCCAAACAAGCCTCCCAAGAGGGCCCAAAGAGTCTAAAATTGTTGATTTTCCCGAGTGTTTTTCGACGTTTCTTGCTTTCCCGCCTTTCCGGCTTCCCGACGCTCCAAGACGGCCAAAGAGGCCCCAAAGATAGCCCCAAGATGGCCCAAGAGGCCCCCAAGACGGCCTCCAGACGGCCCAAGACGGCCCCAAGACGGCCCAAGAGGTCCCCAAGACGGCCCAAGAGAGCCGATTTGGAGGGGGGGAGGGGGCCGGGACGAGCGCAGCACGGCCGGGACGAGCGGTTCCAGAGCTTTTCCGGGCCCAAGAGGGCCTCAAGACGGGCCAAGAAGCCCCCAAGAGGCCTCCAAGACGGCCCACGACGGCTCCGAGACGCCAAACGACCGCTCCAAGACGCCCACGATGGCCCCAAGACGGGCCAAGAGGTCTCCAAGACGGCCCCCGAGGTCCCAAACAAGCCTCCCAAGAGGGCCCAAAGAGTCAAACATTGTTGATTTTCCAAAGTGTTTTTCTACGTTTTTTGCTTCTCCGCCTTTCCGGCTGTCCGACGCTCCAAGACGGGCAAAAAGGCTCCAAAGATAGCCCCAAAATGGCCCAAGAGGCCCCCAAGACGGCCTCCAGACGGCCCAAGACGGCCCCAAGACGGCCCAAGAGGTCCCCAAGACGGCCCAAGAGAGCCGATTTGGAGGGGGGGAGGGAGCCGGGACGAGCGCAGCACGGCCGGGACGAGCGGTTCCAGAGCTTTTCCGGGTCGAAGAGGGCCTCAAGACGGGCCAAGAAGCACCCAAGAGGCCTCCAAGACGGCCCACGAAGGCTTCGAGACGCCAAACGACCCCTCCAAGACGCCCAAGATGGCCCCAAGACGGGCCAAGAGGTCTCCAAGACGGCCCCCGAGGTCCCAAACAAGCCTCCCAAGAGCGCCCCAAGAGCGCCCCAAGAGTCGAGCCGCACACGCAGGCGGCCAATCCCAGAGAGGAATGAGAAGCTCAATGTCATTTCCTATTCCTCCGCCTCCTCCTCGTCCCCCCTTTTCCTCCCCTTCCTCCTCTTCCTCCTTCTCCTGCTCCGTCTCCTTCGCCCCGCTCTTACGCTCGCAGCGTCACTCGTCCTCCTCCTCCTCCTCCTCATCCTCCTCCTCCCACTCCTCCGAATACCCCAGCATGCCCAATAACGGATCAGCCCCAGTTTCGAAATCCACAACTTACGTCCAGCATCCGCCGACCCCGCAGAAATCGAGGTGCCGTGGCGCTTCCATCTAGTGAACATGCCTCCAATTTGGCACACCCCGCACGCGGCAACTTGAATGAAAGGCCCCCAAACCCGAGTATACGCGCGGTTCCCCGCGAACATTGGGCACGTCCCTCATAGATTTCGTGGCTCCACGGCGCGCTCCAACCATAGCCCCAGTACCCGCGGTCCCGTAAACTTCCAACCCCAAGCGCACACACACGTCGATCGTGTCGTGGCTCCAGAATACGTCCACCGTGGGGCCCAGTGGGAAGATTCGCATGCAAGTATACCCCATGCCGGCACACCCTTTGCACGCGCCGTGGCCTCGC